CTTCGACCAGCCTCTCTACGCCAAAGCATTCAAGATTAAGACAGAGCATCCACTGGAATTTGCTCATGTGAAGTTACGTCTTGGTGGGTTCCATCAGTTGATGTCCTTTCTTGGAGCGGGATGTAAAAGTATGCAGTTTTCAGGCATGGAGGAGCTATGGTCATGTGTGTATGCAACAAACTCTATTCCTAAGATGTTCGAAGGAAAGTCCTACAGCAAGACAGTGAGGGCTTGTCTCTTAACATCAGCCGCATTGCACATTTTGCTCTTTGATAATCAGCAAACTGTCGACAGTGAGTGTGACACACCTGAACACTTCAATGATTCCATAAAATCAGATGATGATGTGCTCCTAGAAGTGGAGAAGATTGTGAAGGATCTGTCAGACCATACTGTCAGTGTTGATGACATTAGTTCTACATCACTCATCTCCATCCTAAGCACTGTCGAAAAGAAAAAGATGATATTACAAAAATCCAGAACCGCACGGTTATGGTTTCAGTTCATGGAATTTGTTTCCATCATATGCACATTCATTAGGGCGGAGCGCACAGGAAACTGGCTACTACACCTGAAATCATGTCAAGACATGCTTCCATGGTTTGCTGCACTGGGACACAATAACTATGCGAAATACTGTAGGCTGTACATCCAGGATTTCATCAACCCTTGTCCCTGTCTAATGAAACCACTATCTGAAGGTCTATTCACTGTACACAGGAACCAACAGCTTTTCTGGAGTGGTACATGGTCCGACATGACGATTGAGCAGTCGCTTATGAGGTCTGGCAAAACACAAGGTGGACTTATTAACATAACACACAAGGATAGTGCGAGGACAAGATGGCTGCTTTCCGCACATGTTGTAGCTCAGTATACAGAAGAGTTGAGGCAACTGAGCAATGTCTCTAAATATTGGGCAGATCATCACCGTGAAATCAATCCAGAACGAGTGAAACAGGACTACAAGGACATGATGAAACTGCTTGACTATCTCAGGATTCACAACCCATTCAGTGTTGATGGATGTGACCTCCGCAACATCTCGACAGGTGTCATTGCGGATGCAAGAGTGAATGTTGACTCACTGATTGAAGTTGGATCCAGAATTCAATCAGCACTGACAAATCGCACCTTTGGTGAGGTTGTTTTCAAAAGGAGCAGTCAGGTTGTTACTTTAGAGGTAATGAAAAAATCTCTCACTCTCACAAATGGGGAAAAAGTCCACATATCATCAACAGAGCTTTATCAACGACTCCTCTCAATCGCATATTCATCTGGCCCACCACCCCCCTTAGTCTTCTCATATGAGCTGGCTTTTGTCTCACCGTCTTTGTTCCATGATGATGGTACCATGAGAAAATCCACTAAGTCACAACTTGTCAACTGCATCACAGATTTGTACCCAGATATTGTAATGCAAGACAGTAGTCAGCCAGAATATGTGATCATTGATGGATGTGCCCTGCTTCAACAGCTGAAGTGGCCAAAGGTAGGAACTATGGCAGATGTGTGTACCTCTTATGTCAGTGCTGTGTCCCACAGATTCAACAGAGACTGTAAAGTAACAGTTGTGTTTGATAGTTACGAAGTTCACACTACCAAAGATCAGGAACAGATGAGGAGGAAACAGTTCAGGTCAGCAATGCCAGATATCGCTGTATTAGCAACAACACCTGTTCCAGGAGATTCAGCAGGCTTTCTTTGCAACAAGAAAAAACAAGCAGCAAATCATCAACCTGATTTCTTCTCACCTTCAGACATCAGGAATTGACGTACATCATGCTGGTGTTGAAGGGGATGCCGATATTGTGATTGTGAGAAAGGCTGTGGAGTTAGCACAAGATAACCATACTGTACACGTCATTTCTGATGATACAGATGTCTTTGTGGTACTCTTATACCATGTTGATCCGGGCAGTAAAGTGTATATGAAGACCAGATCTCGGACTCTGTCTGTACACACGGCAAAGCAGAGTCTTGGGACTCAAATGTGCCAGCTGATGCCCTTTGTTCATGCCATGTCAGGATGCGACACAACTTCAGCCATATTTGGTTTTGGAAAAACCAAACACTTTAAGTATGTGAATACTAACTGGGCTCATGGATTTCAGGAAAGGTATGTCATGTTTGGTGAAGCATCAGTTCCAAAAGAGGTGATTGGGGAAATTGGTGAGCAGTATGTAGCTGGACTGTACAGTGGCAGGAACGGCCTGAAACTTGATGAACTGCGTTTCATGAACATAAAGTCATCAAGATATATCAGTATTGAAAGGATGCCACCTACAAGCAGTGCTGCCTTTTTCCATTCACAGAGAGTGCATCTACAAGTCAGCACATGGAAGAATCTAGCAACAGTACTCGACAAATCACAGTATGGATTCAAGTGTGACAATGGCCATGTTATTCCTGTTATCACGGATCGGGCCCCTGCCCCTGCATATCTATTGAAGGAGGTCAGATGCTGCTGTAAATCCCAAAATAAACTCTGTCGGTCATGCAGTTGTGTGAAAAGGGGGCTTTCAATGCAGTATCCATTGCAAATGTGAAGGTGCATGAGGCAATGGATCTTTTGGTGACGATGATTGATACTCATTAAGATGGTATGATATGACATGATACGTGTGACCTTGAAATGTGAGTGACTTCCTATTATTAGAATGGAATCCTGTTTCATCTCATGTTTAGCATAAACAAAATGGCATCAGCAATTTAAGTCAATATACCATAAAAGTTAAACCCCAGTGCCATTTTCTCAACTCATGTAATCACGGTATTTTGCCTGGTGCGACCTTGAAATTTGGGTCAAGGTCACACTGGTATATTGACAACTCTGAATTAACTATACACTTATGGTTACCAAATATGAAGGTAATTGTTATCAGTGGTTTATCAGAAACTACATACTGTATTCATTTGTTTGGACGAAAACCTTCAAATTCCTCATATTGATCTATTCTGGATGAGCTATGTTTGAAGGCTCATAAAAAAGTTTCCCCATGTCTGATTTTGTCTGGGTTTTGACCAGGAGTTACCTATAGTATGACGTAATGAATCCACATAAAATTTGGTTGTTAGGTAAAATGTCCGGGTTTTCGACCTTTTCCACTGGCCTATATGAATAAACACCGTAAATATAAACAATACATCATCTTTTCTGATTCTCTTTCGTGTCTTCAGGCTATTAAAAATATTTCTTGTAAACATCCACTTTTATTAGAGATTATTGAATTGTATAATGAGCTTGCTACTGGCCAATGCGACATCGTCCTTTGTTGGTTACCCAGCCACGTTGGCATTTCTGGGAATACAATCGCCGATCTTGCTGCCAAGGCAGCACTCAACAAATCTGTGACACCACTTCTTATTCCATACTCTGATTACAAAGCCAGCATTAGAACTTACATCCGTGATCTGATGCAGAAGAAGTGGGACACTCAAGTAGGTATAAATAAATTACAAGAAATAAAACCCTACATTGGCTACACATACTTGGGTTGTCAGTCCAGATTTGAAGAGGTCATCATGCGACGATGTCGTATTGGTCACACCAGATATACTCATGAATACCTGTTAAAAGGTGAGGATCCTCCGTTTTGTATCCTTTGTGATGAAAGAATCACGGTCAAGCATGTCCTGCTTGACTGTGTTGAATATTCCATCACAAGGGATATCTATTTCAAATCCCAAACTATGAAGGTTCTTTTTAGTAATATAAGTTCTCATTTAATTATTGCATTTTTAAAAGAATTAGATTTGTTAACTGATTTGTAAATAGATAAATATTTTATTATTGGTAATTTAAATTAGTAGCTGAGATTGTTAGTGGCTGTACCCACAAAGGGGGTTGAAGTAGCGTAAAATTATTGTCCTCCTGAGAGGGTACGTAAGTCCCAAAACATTTAGTCAATTTAAGTGTACCAGGTTTTTTATCGTAGAATATGTGTGCTTTTAATTTATGGCTAGATTTCTCTTCTGTCGCCAATGGCTGGTGTAAATCCAACTAGGGTCCATGCAAGTAGCAAAAGTAATGTAAGTCCCCATGGTCCCTGGTATGGTGATCTACCTTCAGTTATTGGCGATTTACGGTCCATTTTTATACTGTATTGTTTCCCCCTATAGTTATAACGTTTTAGATTTAATTTCTAGTTTTACATACATATCTGTGATATTCTAGTTGTTTTACTGTCCTTCGTCGGCAGGTTTTTTATAATGTGCATATATTTCATTTCAATATAAAATGTTATCGTCACGATATGGCTGAAATATTGCCGATGTGACGTTAAATAATAACTCACTCACTCACTCATTTAAACGTAGTATATTAGTTCATTTAAATTTTGGCTAAACTTGTCTTACAATCGCCAGCTGCTGAAGGGATGGTGTAAATCCAACTAGGGTCCATGCAGGTAGCAAAAGTAATGTAAGTCCCCATGGTCCCTAGTATGGTGATCTACCTTCGGTTGTTGGCGATCTATGGTTTATTTGTATATTGTGTTGTCCCTTATGGTTGAAATGTTTTAGATTTAAGTGCAAGTTTTAAATTCGAATCTGTGATAATCTAGTTATTTTCTGTTCTTCGTTGACAGGTTTTTACAGTTTACCATTACTTACTATGTATAAAATTAATTGTTCTCGTCACGATATGGCTGAAATATTGCCGATATGACGTTAAATATTAACTCACTCACTCTGTGTGAAATCGTGAATGCTACACAAAGGGGTAGCCACCATTGCAATCACCGCGTGGTTTGGATCCGCGCCTATACGCGTTACCCTTAACTTGCAGTCATGTCTTTGTATTGGAAATAAATATCGGTGCAACCAAATATGCATTTGCGAAAGATGCTATCAATCTGTATGATAGTCGTGTAAGTTGTGTTCATAGCTAGTCACCAAATAAGATAGTTATGAAGTTTTTAACCATGCAGTCACCACCGACTTGTATCAGTAAATAATCATATAGAAATGACAAAAATATTTGACACTGATAGCGTTGCTCACATGATGTGCTATGCAACATATTTATTTGCCAAGGAACATCTCAAAATATAAGGTATTTGCGACAGGAGGTATCGTTGTGCATATTTCTCTAATGGTGACGTTCCTGATGGCGTCCGCCGTTTCGGGAGAATCAATGTGGAACACGTGTTTCAGAGCTGGGGAAGTAGCGACGAAGTTGACAGTGGTGATGTCCACTTTTGCAGTCACAGTCACCACAAACACTTCAGCCTTAGATTTCAACTCATCTATGCTACTTCTCACATCTTCATCAGCGCTGCTTTCCCCGTCAGTGAAAAAAAGTACCACGTTTTCGGCGTCAGGGCGATCGCCATTGGTTTCTGTGAAAACGTCAGACGTTGCTAGTTTGATAGCATCCCCAAGAAATGTGCTCCCTCCTGTGTGTGCTTGAGAACCAATGGCTTCCATGACAGTCGTCTTGTTTTCACTGTAAGTATTCAAGTAGAATACGACTTCTGCCCTTCCCGAGAAAACCATGAAAGCTACGTTAGTAGCAGTTGGAGCAATGCTTACATCAGTGATGGTAGCCAACACAAGGGACTTCACCTTCTCATATTCGCTACGATTGACAGAGGTAGAAATATCCTCTATGATGAGGAGATCCAGTGGCGTTGACGTGCATTCTGAAACATAGCACACGAGTATGTAGGAGAGAACAAGGTGATCGAAAGAAACAGGTAAATCCAAACCAGATGATTGAGATATGATGGTTTTTGTGAAGGTCATTGACCTTTCTCCATGTACTTTAAAGATTGAGGCATTTGACTGAGTGACAACATGCTGTTCAATGGTGCAATATCCCAGCCTTATCACGAAGACATGTAAACAGTCTTACTAAAAGTTACTAACATGAACTAAGTAGACATTTGAATCAACTAGTAAAACACAACTAAAAGAAAATTACTCAATGAAAATCTCCCTCATTCATGATTGAACTGCAATAATACATGTTCATACAGAAAGGGAAACAATAGCAAATGATTCTTACTGAGGAAATTTGAAATCAGGGCGATTTCAGTTAGAACAATTAATTTGTATTGTGTACACAAACTTTTGAAAACTGATTCCAATTATTTCTACCTGTTTCACATTCAATTCCTTTGAAGCCCGGTGGACAGGTGCAGATAAACTCGCCCTTGTTTGCCACACAAGTCCCGTTATTTAAACAGGGATTGTTGACACATGCATCAACATCTTGAATAGAAAGGCACATGTAACGGCATTTCCAGCCCAACAAAGGAGCAAGTGGATTCCCCGTGTGGATGTGAGTTGTAGCAGGTTTTCAGCGCGTTGTTACTTGATGTGATTGCATTGGAACTGCAATGTAAGCCTTGCTAAGCGTCGGATGTTTCTCACACAACCAACCCCTTTGTGATGTAGCTGTAAGATTTCAGACGGTTGTGATACAGCAGGAACCATATTGGTTGGGAGAGTACATAATAAATAAAAGTAAAATACTATTTAAATCATTTTAGCAGTAGCTCTCTTACGATATATAACCTGTGTTATGTCAAGCATGTATTTAATAATAGATATCCCAGTTTGGATTGGTTGAGATGTAGGTCACTACACTGTTTCTGCATTGATCTTCGCCTTGTGGTAAACGTATCGATTCGTTGACTCTATTGATATTTTCCATCACAAGGGATAAGTATTTCAATGTGAAAACATTGAATGATCTTTTTAGTATCAATTACCATTTAATCATTTCAGTTTTAAAAGAAATACAGTTGTTAGGTAACGGTTTATAAAAGTTGTGTAAATAGGTAAATGTTACATGATTGGTAGTTAAATTAAATTGTTAGTGGCTGTATACTCGAAGGGGGTTAAAATACTGTGAAATTATTGTCCTCCTCAGAAGGTACGTAAGTCCTAAACAATGAAAGTAAATTAGAATATAATATTTTAAGCGCAGAATATATGTTATTTTATTTTATTGCTAGATTGTCAAACAATGCAAACATCTGAAGGGATCGGTGACCTATTTATATATTGTGTTGTCTTCTGTTGTTAAAATATTTCAACTTTACACATTAGTTGTACATTCATAACTGTGATATTCTAGTTGTGTTTATTGCCCTTCTTTGACACGGTTTATTATAATTTACATGCAATTAGTGTGAATTTAAACTTGTTTCAGTCGCGATATGGCTGAAAAAAATGCCGATGTGACTGTAAATCTAAACTCACTTACTTACTCAATTCGTTCACATTGCAAATGTTCAAAAGTCAGGAATTGTCATTTAGGGAAATGGGACGCTTCCTTCTGTGATGCTGGTGACAGTCTGTGGTTAGATCCCCTGGTCAAGAAATACCAAAAGACGTTTGAGGGTGCTCAGAATTTAGGGGATTAATGAAAAACTGGGTTTGTAATGTTGAACTGCCGGATTGTATCGGCATCACTTGAGCAAATTGATGACGTCCGCATTAGTATAAGAAGCGACACACACATGCATGTCGCTATATCAGTGCAATAATCTGGAAGGCCCCGTAACACGTGTACGTGAAACCCGATTTCACCAACCGCCATACGTGATCAGCAGACAGGAAATGTCATTTGGGGAAACATGCTACGCGAGGCAATTGGGCTGGGAATTACACAGGACTTTGTTTTATGGTTGAACATTATCTTGACATTGTCATACAAAAGGTCTAAGCACACATAAACACCCTATACTGGATGCCCTGAACGTGATTATAAAGCCTATAGCACTGGTGTCTCGACATGAAGACAAGTAAAGTATTCATTCTTAGACAAAATGCCTGAAGCCTCCTAGGTTTCTAATCGCATTTAGCAATTACGCTGCAAACCACACTTTGTTTGGAACACATTTATGCTTACCATAGCAGTACGAGGATAATGGATTGGGACGTGGGAGCTTGAACACTTGTCTACCGTCGCTGCAGTTCTGGACTGGTATGTTCCTGAATGCTATATAACAGTCAGTAGACCTCGTGGCTACACACATGACTGCAATGCCGTTATCAACCACTGCAATACACAACATAGTTACATTAAGATCGAAATATTATGTTTTTGGATCACCCTCGAAGTAAAGGAATGAATGACAAATTTCATGTTACTGATCCCGTTAGGATTGCGTTTGAGATATATACTACTTGAAAAAGAAGGAATTACCCGATGTTTCCTTGCCAAAGATACACTGCATTTATATTGAATATTAATATCTGAATCAGCACTGGCAAGAAATAAATCGAAACAGGATTCGTTAGTTTCCCTAGATCGGTTCGTGGGCCTAGTTGGGGCGTAGGAACGGTTTTCAGAGTGTTTGTGTGTGTGTGGGGTGGGTGGGTGGGGGCTAATTTATGAAAAGTATTGAAAATCAAAATGATACGGTTTCGTCTTGAAACTTGCGGATATCACCGCTCCATAACTGCAAGAGTAAACTTGTGCAAGTAATGGAATAAGCCATTCCGAACTGTATTCAGCAAATCAACATGGAGACGCTCATAAGTTTGGTTGGGCTTTGGGTACTGCGGAATCATTTCCGATTTCATTAGCCCGAGATGCGATCATTTGTATTCTCTAATTTATCGTTCACCGAGTTTGCACCAAATGACCCCAATGTCTCGATTACAGAGAACTGGTATTTTACTATCACAAATAATAAAACCGATCCGCATTCAAACATGGATTCAACAGAAGGGCAGGTCCATAGTAAGTTAAGAGGGCAAAAGCTGGCGAAAAGTAACCCTCAGTCACAACTAGAGTAACAACGCACGTTCTTTTAAAACGTTGTCGTTAATATTTGGGCCCCAAGATACAGTGACATCAGGTTTGTGAAAATACAGTGTTCATGTATCTAATGGCCTTTTAGTTTTTCTTGCACAACAGAATGTACATGGTCATGTTTGGTATACTGGCGAATGAAGAACATCAGCAACTTTTATGGAATGAAATTAATCGATTGCGCTTTATTGCTTTACGAAGCAATCGACATTACCTAAAGCAGACAATGGCAGACAATAGACGGGTATAAAGTTCATGTTGGAAACCCTGAATGGATCAATGCTTCTATAATACACTAAAGTCACAGGGCTATATCTCGTCTGTACAATTATGATATGGCATGTTCCCGTCAGAAAGTGCTTACCTTTGATCCAGAGGGGAAAAGCGCTGCCACATGCTGGACCAAGAATAGGCCTCATGAGTATTTGTGTGTCATTGGACGAGTCGTACCATCCAGGCATAAAATTCTTGACATCTCGGACTTGTCCTTCATGTATGTTTCCTGGTCCTCTTTTCTCAATTTCAGGTATTTTATTGGAAAGTGTACATGGATCTACATTATTAAAGGCATATGCTAAGGTTCCGTAGAAGAATGACAACATATACTTGTAATAAGGCAAACCGATAATTCACAAAGGAAATCATACAGAGGAGAAGAGGAGTAATGTCGTTTTCTGATCAGGTCAGTCACTAGGCATGCGTTACACAAAGATGTTTGAATTATTCTCAATAATGATGTTAAAATTTTAAGTCACAGCGATATATTCATCAACTTACATTTTATAGTAATTGAAAATAAAATTTATCCTGTCAACGAAAGACGTTACTATCACAGATATAAATTTAAACTAGTAAATCAATCTAAAATATATTAACTATAAATGACAATACAATATAAAAACAGGCTTGACGAAGAAGAATGGCGATTCAATGTTTAAGCAATGTCAGCTTCATCGGCTTTAGCTAGTAAGTCACCACAATCTTTGAGATTGAACAGTAGAATACCTTTAAGTCCCACACCATCGGCAGTATTTCAGCCATATCTTGAACATAAATGGCATTTAAGATTATAATTTTATCTAAATTATGCACGATAATATGTCGGGGAAAATACTTTTCCGATTTTTTCCAACACTTTCTGGCCTGTTTGCATTTATTATTGAACCATGGTTTACGAATATGTGGAATTGCAGAGACTGTGGAATTGTTTTGTCAGCAATTGAGTACATCGGAAAACGACTGAATAGGATATTCACTGATCCAAAATAGGTCAAGTGCTCAAAACACAGTGTCTCATATTATGACAAATCAGCCCTGTCGTAAATTGAATGAGTCCGTTTTTTTTAGATATGTCTCTTGAACACGTAATGCTGAATACTTCATGATTGCTGACTTGACACATGTCAAGTCAGTCTGACATTCAACTGAGGACATTGCTACAGAGCGGGTGATTGCAGCGGAATACGAGATATTTAATGGAGTTGAAGACTGGTTTGTGAAATGTATCTTGGCCTCAATGAGACCCATGTCCGAAGTGCTGACACTTGTAACACCTGAGTGGACTAGGGACAGACACATCCACCCCGATGTTAAAGTAACCTGCTTGGATAGATTGCAGAATCGAAGATCCAGCAAAAGTCAACAGATACGTATTTGTTTTAGTGAAGATTCCCTCTTTCTTGATAGTGAAACGCTTTATTGCCGTATCACCTTGGTCCTCAAGCTCTGTACCAATGCCTTCTTCACTCATATCATACAGACAGCATGCCCTGTCACGTATGATACCACGAAAGGAAAATAGTTCGACATTCGTGCTCCCTACACACCATGGAGAATCAGCAAGGACGATGTCAAATAGCACCGGATCTCCAAGATGCTGACACCAGGGTTACAGGGATGTTATACTGCAGCGAGTAAGACACAAATAGCAATATCTGTATACCGATTAAATGTCAGGCTGGTTCTTGCACATGAATTTGGACGTCAACATCACCAGATTGGCCCATGAGCCACCGCCTTCTATCGTGGAACTCTCGGCAATTTAACATATTCACAAGTTATACATTGGACATCGAAAACGCCAACACCCAAAAATGAATGCCTAAAGTCACTTAGTGGAATGGGGACCTAAACTAGCAATAAAGGATAGCAATAAACTACATAATCTCTTTCACATTTCAAAGGAATGATGCAGGGAGACAAAACATTTCCACGACTGTATCACAAGATGCATACATTGAAACGTTCCAATAGCCCATTTTACTTTGTGTCGAGCATTATTCCAGCTATTCTAGTGTTTGGGTTCTGCATTTCACTACTTCTGCGAAGATTTTAGGACACAAAGCCTTAGGTAAGTCTCGTATAGTGCACTCATACTTTGGGAGAGATTTGTTATAACTATTAAACTTCTGTGTCTGTTAGGAGAAGGGTACACTACGAATACCTTATATATTGTACCCATGTATGGAGTCGAGCCTCAGGTCCGTCAAAAGTAAAACTGCTCACTTTAGATTTCATGGAACTGCGATGAACAAGATATCACATATTTCATTATGACTGAAAATTACCACTCACCACGTTCACAGGTACGGCCTGTATATCCATACAAACACTTGCATGTGAAACCGTCACGGACTGCAACACATGTTCCTCTGTTTGCACATGGCTGGCCCAGACAATAGTTAGGCGCTGAAAAATACGAGATGAAAGTGTGAAGAGTATTTAGCAAACACTATAAACATGTGAATACTCTTCAAAACCAATTTACCCGTTCAATTCAGATCAGATCGATAGTATGAGGTATTGGTCGCGTGTTTTAACGCTATTAAAGTCTTTGACTGTGCATTTAGATGCGATGCACATACATCCGAGAAGTTATGGATGTCAACGTCTTTTATTGAGGAACACGACGTTTTGGAGTATATCATACGTCACCTGATGAATGAGTACGGATACACTCGTCGTTTCCACAAACTATTTCCCCCATCTCATTTTTTTTAAACAGGGTTGAGTAGTTTGTGCACTAGTTCCGTTTTACGTCAACTTGAAAAGTTTTTATCTCTGATACAGCAGTGTGTATTGATTCGAATACACAACAATCGATTATGTGAATCGCTAAAGGAAATTTGGAGAACTTCAAATTGTTAAACTGTACAAATCGTACTGACAACAGGTAGGGACATGTCTTGACACCGTATTAAACCGTTTCAGTTGAATCATGGAGTGACAACTTCAGTTGGTTGAAGACCTCACACAGCAGACCTTGGCATATTACATGACAGACCCATTCCTGTGTCGAACAACCGATAGGTATTAATATCTCAGTGTAATACTAGACATCCATCAAAACACTTATTATCATAATTCTCACATTATAATATCATCTTACCAAAGCAGACGGCACTCCTCTTGACATCAGTCTCTACTTTATAGATTTCCCTACCGCCGTAACATCGGAGTGTTTCAAATTCGTATACGGTGGAACACGTGTCGGTTTCGTTTTGAACACATACCACTGAGACATTGCTTCCTCTTTCCTCTACAAGAAAACACAAACATAAACGATGTATAATGAAGGAAAGGATAGTATATACAAACAGAAAAGGGTGTTAAGTGATACTGCTAGGCCACGTGTACGTAAGTTACCTCTAGGCCGCGTGCATGTACACATAACTGCCTGTGATTGCCGCGCGATAGCACCATATTGGTTACGATTTGTGACCTGGGAAATATTCAATAACTCTTCCTGCAGTGATCCAGGGGGTTCTGTGGCTGCTGCTGACATGTCAGAGAATTCCATAAATTTTCGACGGGGTTTGGACCTTGATATAATCGGAAGGCGTTACTTAAGTTAAAACTTCAAACCATTATCTACCAGTTGAAACATGACGATGGATTAAAACACCCCCAAATGATTATGTACTCTTTGTAATGCAAACGATATTGGAGATGAATTTAATTTTTTGTTTACTTGCCCTAACCTGACCCGAGAAAGGAAAAATATATATTTCTGTATAAACACGAATGAGCACAAATTGAACCAACCTTTTCACTCAAACAAAATAGGAGTGAGTGAGTGAGTTTAGTTTTACGCCGCACTCAGCAATATTCCAGCCAAACAAACTAGGAACAATCAGGAATTAAGCAAGGTTTTGCAAAATAACAATATCTCAGTTCAAGCAACGCCCCAGATTCTAATATACACAAATTACATTTCATTGACAAATATGTACTCGTCACGATATGGCTGACATATGTGACGTTAAATGTTAACTCACTCACTCACCCAACGCCCCAGAAAAGATAACCAATAATGAGGGCTTGGAACATTGTTCATTTAACTGTTTAAATGTTTTTCATGTATTGACGCCCGAGAATGAAGCGGTTTTTCTGTCTAATGGTGGTTGGAAAATCTGGATAAGGCCGAAATTCGAAATGCTTGTCTACCAGTGGCATTGTTGCATTGTATTTTTGGCCCGCATAATTATTAGATTAAAAGTGAGACAACGATGCTTTATGCGGAAGAGGAGTGAGTAAGTTTAGGTATACACCACACTCAGCAATTTTCCAGCTATATGGCGGCGGTCTGTAGACAAGCCAGTGACCAACAGCATGAGTATCGATCTGCGCAATTGGGAACCGATGACACGTTTCAACCAAGCCAGCCAGCCTGGCAACTCGACCCCGTTAGTTGCCTCTTACGACAAGCAGGGATTACTGAAGATCAATTCTAACCCGGATCTTCACGGGTCTTATGCGGGAGGAAAACCCTGAGCGATGAAATCATCCTTATCAAGTAATAATATACTTAGCGCTGGCTAGACAACAAATGTTAATGAAGTAACTGATTGAAAATGTTTGAAACTGATGTTAATGAAATGTAGTTGACAAGTGGATGTGAACTTAGAGTACGATGTTAAAAATGAAGGCAACAGTGTAAAGCAAAAAGGAAAAAATGTCAGCAAACTTCTTGCATTTGTAAGTGAATGTGTATCGATTTACGCCGCTTTTAGCAATATTCTAGCAAAATCAAGGCAGGGGACACCATAAAGTCACAAGCGAACGCTTTGACCAAAAGGCTACCCCAGCGCCCATTTGCATTTGTAAAACTGGGCAACGACATATATAGCTATCCACCACTCGGGTAATCTTTGCATGGTGATATAAAGTGCTCACTTACAATGTACGAACGACTGCCAGTCCAACATCATCATGAACATCATACATGTCATACATACATACATACATACATACATACATACATACATACATACATACATACATACATACATACATACATACATACATACATACATACATACATACATACATACATACATACATACATTCAAAACCTTTTTTACTTTATATTGTATTAATTGTTTTCGTCCCGATATGGCTGAGATATTGCCGATGTGAC